CCCCCTCCTATAAAATGGCAGTGAATATTTTCATTTTAATTTGTGCGATCGGTTAATTTCTCATTTTTTCTTTTTCAAAATCTGTTCAAAAATATTTTCATACTTGTAATCTTTGTAGGATATGTTAATATTTACTGTTCAAATATTTAGGGGAAAAAAAAAATCTCTAAAAATTAACAGAAAAGGTTGAAAATGAACTTGAAAAATCAACCAAAAAAAAGGAAAAAAAATTGAAAAAATCAACAAATTAGCAGTAAATTGAAGTAGTTGATGATAAAATTGATTATTTCATTAATTGGAAAATAGCTAAATTCATATTTCATTTGAGGCGAGGAATTATCTTGTAACAAATGACAAATACTAATTGGTGGATTTTGGGAACTGGAATAATAAATCGCTCTAATTACAGTAATTTTGGTATTAAATTTTGAATTATTATGACAGCGATAATTTAGATTTTTAACTGACACGCTAACGCTCAATCACTGCTGCATGACGAATAAGCGATTATTAACCAAACATTTCAAATATTGGAGTAATAAATGTTCAAAATATAAAATTTCAAGTTAGAAAATTTAACAGACATTTACGAGACTAATTTTATATGAATCTCAAAGTCTTGAAGAATCAAAAAGATTAAGTTTTTATATGTTTTGTAGTAGTAGTAGTAATAGTAGTATAATAGTAGTAGATTGTAATATTTATTTATCATCTCAAAAATTTTTTTTAATATACATTAAAATGAGACATTGTAAAATGTTTCATGTGAAATCAGCCATGACAAATTACTATTACCAATGATGACACAACTGTATAAACATTATTGATGTTTATTTGTTTAACTTTCAGGCAGATTTGTTTCCAAATAGAAATTTTGCATGTTATTTCCGGATACAGTTGTTCCAGTGCTAATAAGTATGCTGGACCCTAAAGAGTATGACATAGCATTGATTGTGATTAGGAGGAAGGTGGGGGGGATAGGGGAAAAAGAAAAAGGTGCCAGGATCGATAGTGAAATGAGCCAAGAGATTGAAGCTACATAATGGACAAAGATCAGTTGAAGGAAAGTATGAGTAGCACGCCAAATTACGTCATGAGAATATCTGATAAATGAATTCAAACAAACTGTTTTCCCTCCCCATAAAATCAATCGGTCAATCGTTGTTATCATTTGTCCAATCTTTACTATCCTCATACATAATCTTATCATTTAGAGAAATATTTCTTAGTTTTAACAAAATTATATAGAATTTTCATTTCTGATTACATCAGTAGAGCTGTCGTATCATTCAAATCATTGATGTTGTGTATTGTTTAATTTTTTGTAAAATTTGAAAAATGAAATTCGATTTTGTTGCTCATTTTTATAAATTATTACGAAAAGCATCTTTTTTATTTTTCTCTTCCTGTATCTCTCTTCATCTCTCTCTGTCCCTCCATTTTCTTTTCGCCTCCCTAAAACAACTTGATATGCTTTAGATCCATGGAAATTGTTGGTAAATTTAGAATTTTTAATGCTAAATGGAACGGAATTTATCAATTAGATTGATTCATTCTTATTATCATTTTAGTTTAAATAAAATTCTGTCAAATTTAAAATTTAAAAAATTTATTTTTTTTGAATAGAATTTGAATTAATTGCTCATTTTATGTTAAATTTCTCTCGTTTAAAAGATTTCAAAAATGTTCTTTTCTCTCCCTCTCTCTTTATCTTCTCTATTTTTTTCATTATTTTCCTTCTCACCTATTATCATTAGCAAACTGAGAATAATTTGAAATCAATATCCTTATACGATCAGATCTTCTTACTCTCAAAAAAAAATTCAAATTCAATACTTACAGTTATTTGTTATAACTTTTTTTTTTTGCTTTGTTCCTATCATTTTCATAATCGTAGAATATTTTCCACTTGTTTTTTTCTTTCTTATCCACAAAAAAAAAAAGAAAAAGCAAAAACAGCAAAAGAATAGAAGAAAAGAAGATGACACTGTAACAAAATAGAAAAATTAGGAAGAGGAAAAAAGAAAAAGAAAAAGCGGAAAAATGAACATTTTGCTAGCAAATTCAAAAAGAGAGCGGTAAATTTTATCCACCATTCAAATAAGGAAATGTGAATGATGGATGAAAGCGCGGAAAAAAAAAAAAGAGGATAAAATGATGACGTGTTTGAATATTTACTGCTCATTTTTTCGCTTGTTTTAATTCAAAATTTCGTTATTTCATTTTTTTTTAAATTTATTAAAAAAAAATTGGTTTTTTTCCCCAATATTTCATGATTTAAAATTTGTATTATTACAGTTTTTACACTTATTCATCCTTCTTTTTTTTCAAAAAAAAAAATTATATTGCACCATTTCGTTGACATTTTGAAATGCGCTAAAATGTACGATCGGTTACCATTATCAGGTTAAAATTATGCGAATGTTATGATGGATAAATTTGTCGTAATCAGATTTTATTGAAATTTCATGGCAATTTTGTGATTCAAAATGGACCCTATAACTTAATTTTCTGAATTTTCATACTTTATCTAACCTTCTGATAGCTCTCTGTTCTCACTCTTCTGAACCACTTCAGTGTTACAGTAAGAAGCATTCATTTGACTTTGTCGATTACCTATTGTTGTACCAAAATTCGTGGAATAAACAAGTTCTCCTTGAATTGCGGCCATGCATGCGGCATAGAGAGAGGTGTTATCGCTTCACCGATGACCATCAAATTGAGCGAAATGAACAAACCCATTTACTTTGATTTCCATTCATGGTCGATGATTTTGAATTTGGTGTTGTGATGTCATGCGAGGTGATGTGATTTCTGTGTTAGCATTGGTTGACCGAATCAAATAGCTGATTCGATTCAGTACTGAGGTGTATGGTTATATTAATGCGCTATATCATCCCAATAGATTTTGCTACTTCTATTTCATCAATTCGTTATCACCACCATTACTACCACTACCACTGCTATCATCATTATTACTATCGCCAATATCATCATCATTATCAGCACATCATCATCATAGTTTATCATTTCCACTATCATTAACATTTGCAGCAGTCGGAGCATATCACTGTTGCTTCTAAAAATGACCTTCTGTCTCCCCTATCCTGTCCACTACTGTCCTGACTTCCATATATTTCGAAAGCTTTCTTTCTCATCTTCATCATCACTCCTCTCTATGCTTCCCGTATTCTTCAATTCTTCTAATTCAGTCCAAAACCTATCATCTCCCTTATCATCCATCATTTCCTTCCTACTATAAAGCAGCTGTATATTTCCGTGAAATTTCAACTTCTTTTCCAATAACTCTTACTAATTCCACAAAAACTAACGTTCATTCTATGCTTTAACATTTTCGTCATATTGCTGACAAGAGAGAAGGATAAATTGGATACTGAAAATGAGGTGACTAATTATTCTGTCCAATTTTTAACCTCTTCTTTTGTCACTTATTTTGGGTAAGGAGGAAAAAGATAGATTTATTAGTTTAATGAATTCATCTTTCAATTTACCGTTTTATCATGTATTGCAGTGGATGAAATTGTACATATAACGACATCATCATGAACTGTCAATACTATCCTTACCTCTGTTTGTCATCATCATTACCGCCAATAATGAACTCTTTCTGTCACTGTTATCAACAAAAACAACAACTACTACTACAACTATTATTACTACTACAACAACAACTACAACTACTGTTATTATTACTGCTACTGCCATTAATATAATTGCCTCGTGTTATCATTGTAGGTATGGTTATTGTTATGAGTCTTATTAATCTATGCTGATGAAAATCGTACAATGATACCATGATACCATGATATGATCAAATGATTA